TTTTAATATTGTATAGTACTCACACCATATTAATTTATTTATTTCAAATGTTAAACGTGAGGACTTGTTATTGGCTCACTGTTACCTACGCCTATTGTTATTTTTATCCATTTTTATATGCTGTAAGTCCTCCATGAATTATAAATAAATAAATAAATAAATAAGTATTGCTCTGCGAAGCAGAAAGCTACGAGAGAAGCGCACAGTTGTGGCCTAGCAACCATCTATATGATGGGGATAGATATGTTATCGTGAGGGTTGATGGCAAAAAGACGCGCCAGGTGCGCCCCGGTCGGAGATTGCGCGACGATCTCCGGCCACCAAAGTGCGTGTCTGCGGACTGCGAGCAAGGGTAGTTCGCCCCCCAACCAGATCCAGACTCGGGCCCAGTAGGGCTGATGCCCGATACGGAGCCGCGGAAAGCGATACGGAGCCGCGGAAAGCCAGACGGGTTGCCGGGGCTCCGGCTCGAAGAGCAGGAGTAGGAACGGGGTAATTTTCAGTATGAGTTTGACACTACCTCTCGCCTAACCCGAAGCGGAAGAAGTCATTTGATGATTTTGAAAATGGCTATGAGACGACGCAATAGGGCGTTCTGTAGATATAAGAGGGATCGTAGCGATAAGAACTGGGGACTGTATAGGTTGGCGAGAAATCGGTGTAACCAGATGGTGAGAGCTGCTAAACGCCGATACATTTTCGATAACGTTCAAAACTCTTCTCAGGCTGATGTATGGAAGTTCCTAAAAACGCTGGGTGTCTGTGGTACTTCATCCAGTGTTTTACCCACATATATTTCTCTAAATACTCTTAACCTGAATTTTGCTTCATCTTCTGGTTTGGCGGATGCCATTAAAGTCAACACGATCGCCGACATCACTTCCAAGCCTATATCACTCCCCGACACTTTCACTTTTAGTCCAGTGACTGAAAACGAGATCCAGCGAATTTTCGCATCAATCAAATCCAGGGCCGTGGGCTGTGATGGGGTGGGTCGTACCATGATTTCCTTAATTCTTGAGCACTTCCTTCCTATTTTCACCCACATAATAAACTTCTCGTTATTTCACGATGTATTAATACTAGTTTCTAGTTGATCCTTGCAATTAACTGGTATAATAAACTGTACAATTTTAATAAGCTGTAACCACTGCGAAAATTTTGATATGCTCACCTATCAAATTTAAGTCTGTCACTATACGTGAGGACTTGTTCAGTAGTTTATGTTGGCTTCTATTTTTATGTAGTTTTAGCCGTAAGTCCTCCAGAGTGTAATAAATAAATAAATAAGTATTTCCCACAACTTGGCAAAAAGCACACATCATCCCGCTTCCAAAATTCCTAATCCCTGTCGGGCCAACGATTATAGACCCATTTCTATCCTTCCTTATCAATCTAAAATCCTTGAAGCAGTTGTCCTTAAAGAAATCTCCTCATATATCTTAAAACACAAATGACTATTAGTTGTTTATTTTGTTTTTTTTTGCATATTACACATATCCATTTTCGCTGACCTTACATTTAATCCAAAGGTTGACTGGGAGAAAATGCCATATGGCATTAAATCCGCCTTATGTTCCTTATTTTGTGTGCATTAAAGTGTAAATAAAGAAATAAATAAAATTTTCCCTCTTCAAAAAAAATAAGAGTACTCCCTGAGGTACAAGCGATAGAAGAAGCTACACACGCATTGCCAAAGTGTCTAGTCGGTTTGAAACATACCGACACCCCTCAATCCGAACCGCACGCGTTACATAGAAGCAGGCGATGGGCCGGGTCAAATCTGATCCTCGACCAATTGAGCACACCAAGCAAGCGAGACTAATTTGGCCTTATCCTCTAGATGATAGCGGAACTGGACGTCGCTCAAAATGTCGACACCAAGTAAGTATTCCAATATCGGCTGAAGCAGTTAGGGGGTGCTTCGAAACTGAGGAGAGACGACCAACGGCAGTTTCTATCGACAATTCGATCTAATACATATTGCGTCTAGTCTTAAATCATCATCATCGTCATAGACCTCCGTATCGGCAGGTTGAGAGTGGCCTATGTATCCTTATAAAAGGTTACATAGGTACAACGCCTAAATATTTTTGATGTTAGTGTTTTCAATCGAACTTTGCAGTCTGGGAAAGTATGTAAACAAGCGCAGTAGTGCGCAGTGGCAGCAGTGTGAGGGCGTACTTGTGCTTCTGGTCCTTGTGTCGCTGGGCGGCGGCGCGCGCCAGCTTGTCGAGCGCGCGCGCGTAGTCGTGCTCGAGGTCGGCGCGGCGGCGGCAGTAGTCGTGCAGCTCGCCCGCCACGCCCGCCGTCGCCTCGGCGCGCGCCTCCAGCACGCGCGTCTGCTCCGACAGCTGCATGCGGATGTCTGCCGGTAATAAATTCATTTAGGTGTAGGTTTATTTATAATGTAAGCTACTAGATGGATAAACGCATTGAGTAAAACCTATAAACCTATAGAGAAGCTATTTCCACTATTGCGTGACATAATGATGATAAAGATTACGTGTAAATTTATTTTAATTTTCCTAGCTTATTTTCCGAAGTATATTCTACGGCTATAACAAATGACGTCAGAATCGATTCAGTACCTAAGTTATTCATATTTATTGTGATAAAACTATTATATGTATATGTCCTATCTTGGGTCGCAAACCATAGTTGCACCGAATTTATATGCAATACAGTGGTTTAAAAGACAGAGAGTGCCGGAATTTTAACGTGATGGTCCCGTTCCTGTATGATTTCCGGGATAAAACTATACAACATTCTTCCTCGTGTCTGTAACTATCGTTGTACCGAATTTCACTTTAAATAAGTTTAATGATATAAAAGATAGAGACTCCCGGGATTTTAACGCCACGGTTCCCATTCCTGTCAGATTTCCGGGATAAAATTATACTACATTATTCCTCGAGCTATAACTTCTATAACTATGTCTGTACCTAAATTCATTCAAATTGATTCCGTATTTTTTTTTTTGAAGGGGTAAAATCATCGGATCACTGCTCCCGCCTGGGTGAGGCGGGAGGGAATGTCAGACTCTTATTGACTAAAAACGACCCCATTCCCACGCCTGCACTTCGAGTCGGATCCCCGGTACCCGTTAGGTACTCCGCGACTCCGTATCGGCATCAGCTCTATTGGGCTCCATCCGTGGTGGTCTGATAACTTTGAGGCGCGAACGGAACGCGCCGCGCCTTACGCTCGAGATGGTCACTCCTCAAAGAGGGGACTTACCGCTGCGATGGCTCTTGATTCAGTAATTTGAAAGATATTATCTCGTGATTTTGATGCCGTTGTTTTCATTTCCCGGCGGATTTCCGGGATAAAACCTATCCTACGTTCTTCGTTGAGTCTCAAACTATGTCTGTATCTAATTTCATCCTAATCGGTTTATATGTATAATTTTTCACTCACTGACTCGGCTCCTATTGACAATAGCGTGATGATATATATATATAGCGGCTCTAGCCTTCCTTAATAAATTCACTATACACCATAAAAATAATTATTCAAATCGGACCAGTAGTTCAAACCAACAAACTCTTCAGCTGTATAATCTATCACTACATAGTCTAAAACAAAGTCACTATCCGCCGTATGTCTGTCCTTATGTACGTTTAGATCTTTAAAACTACGCAACGTATTTTGATTCGGCTTCTTTCAATAGATAGTATGATTCTTAAGGAAGGTAATTTATATGTATAATACATGCATATAATGTGATGTCGAAAATAAGCACATTTTTTGCGCTTATATTGCCAACTGACTGAACCCCATGATATAGACATAATAATTTACTACAGTATTGTCCACCTTAATTATCTAATGACAAAAAAGCTGTGTATAAGGACATTCTGTAGTAGGTATATTTACATAAGCATTGCACCCGTGCGAAGCCGGGGCGGGTCGCTAGTATATATATATAGTTTAAAGGTGACTGAATGCCTGACTGATTAACTGACTGACTGACTGACACAGTGATCTATCAACGCACAGCCCAAACCACTGGACGGATTGGGCTGAAATTTGGCATGCAGGTAGATGCTACAACGTAGGCATTTGCTAGTACAGGATTTTGGCCATTTCCACCCCCAAGGGGGTAAAATAGGGGATGAAAGTTTGTGTGAAACTTTGTCAGTTTTACACCGATCGGGTTGAAATTCGGCATGTAGACAGATATTATGTATATATGATGTAAGCATCTCTTAAGAAAGGATTTTGATCATTTTCACGCCCAGGGGGTAAGGGGATGAAAGTTTGTATGAAACTTTGTCAATTTTACACCGATCAGGCGGCTCGGTTGAAAATGTATGATATTTTTTATTATCACAGACGTCCCACGGGAACGGGGGACTCTCTATCTCTTAACCACTTAAATACGGTATTAGACAACTAGTCAAAATCAATACTTTTTTCGAACTGTCATAAACGACAGTTCTCTATGAATTTTGTACGAGATTGTGTATTGTGACGTCACGTTTTTTTTGCGTCAAACAGCTTACTTATTTCTTAAAAATATACTGGAAAAATACTAAAATGAAGTTGGTCATAAAATCAATTAATGAAAGTGTGATTATTTTAAAATATTTTGTTGTATTGAACAGTCGAAATAATTTATTTTTCATTAAGGAAAGTACCCAATTATTTTAGAGCGCTTCGGTGCAACAATTTTATCACTAACATCTTCCGGGAACGGGCGCTGTACTGGTAAAATCCCTGCGAGATTATTAATTTTCTGATTATTTTTTTCACTTAGGCACTGAATCGATTCTAATGAATTCTGCCAGAAGTCATTATTCTACGCGGACGAAATCGCGGGCAACAGCTAGTTATATCATATATCAATAATAGTATAAGATAAAGTGTACCTAATTATCTTAACATGTCGTCGTGATGGTCCGGAGGTTAAGACGCCCGCTTCTCATACATGAGGGTGCGGGTTTGAAACCAACCAACGCCAAATACATGTGACTTTTCCGAGTTATATGTACTTTCTTGCTAAGATTATTTATAAGAGACACCACTGACCAACGGTAAGGATAACATCGCAAGGAAACCGGGACTTATAATTTTTAATTATAAGTTAGAAATCGCCAACTCGCAATGAGTAAGCGTGGTGATTAATGGTCAAACCTTCTCCGTATAAGTAGAGACTGCTCAGCAGTAGACTCCTATAAGCTGTTGATTTATCTCAATACTATACTTTATGATAATATAACATTTATATTCACTTGATTGAATATCTATAGGTAGGTATTTAACAGTAAAAGATAATATTTCATTTCTGTCGGCTAAACTTCCAATTTGGTAGTACAAATGGTTCATAGACAGATATAAGTATGATGGCGCGTTACCGCTATACATGTACTATAAAATAAAATAAATACTGATAGGTAGGCTCTCAAACAACTAAGTTGATTTTGGTCCCGTTTATTGGTCGTATGAATTAATGGATGTTTTTTTTTAAGGGGGGAAAATCATCGAATGACTGCCCCCACCTGGGTGGGGCGAGAGGGAGTGTCACTCTTACTTACTAAAAACCACCCCATTCCTTCTCCTGCACGTCGAGCCGGAGCCCCTGTAACCCGTTAGGTTCTCCGCGACAATGGTTAATTCATTAATTTTACTGATCTTGGATCTGCAACCTATTCGTATGAAGTTTTTGGGAAATTATATGTGCGGCAACAAAAGTTTTCTTTAGCACCTGCAACCTAGCGTCTTTTTTTATATGTGAGCGACGAGTTAATAGAACAGCTTCAATTATATTAATTCATCATCTTTACTATTCCAACAAAATATCAAGAAACCAGCGTCAATTTACGAGCGTAAATTAATATGACTCCGAGCTACCGATAAATATATTTACTTCTGATTTGATAACTCAGCGACTAATGTTGACTGACTGCACAGCAATTTTGGGCACCCCGAAACATTTGGTTAGGTTAGGTTAGAACTGCGACCCTCACAAGGCGCGAGGCGAGCGAGCGTAGCGAGCGGTGCCGCGGTAGCGGCCGCCGAGCGTTATATCACTAACTGCTTTTTAAATCTTTTCATACCATTTAGCCGTTTATATTAAAAATATTAGTTTAAATGTTGCGTCATATTAACAGTAGCTTGTTTTACAATATATGGTCGCTTATAAACCATTTATTAGACGCTAAAAGTTTGTCGCTGACCTATTAATTCATTAGACAACTAAATATATTTGCAGACGAGAATGACATTTTAAAGAAGCTGCCTTAATTAGCACCCGAAGTTTTTTAACTGAATTAGATAGATAATAGGTACCATCAAACTGTGTAAAGGTGTGTAAACAGAACACTAGTGTAATATTTAGGACGACAGACTGACAGCCACATTCACGTGCGGCCTGCGTACGATGTACATATTGTACATCCCGCACCCGGCACATGTGACAGGGACGCGAGACGCGACCGGCCGCCCCCTTCAGTCGCACACATCAACATCAGACACAATGCAACGATAACAATAACACAGATTCACATAAACAGCGCCGCCGCCGCGACGACTGACGCTCCGAGACCAACGAGACATCAAATTTCCGTATTCCGGTAAACACTGGGCTAAATTGCTGTTTACTAGTAGCATTTTGTAAGGAAACAGTCCCCAGTCATTAACTATGTAGTCAACAACAGAGACCGGCAATGCGGCCAGCTGTCGAAAATCGTACCGGGAAAGGCATTGTAGAGGTCGGGCGGGCCCCAGTCGTGGCGCGGCTGCACTATACAGTGGAACATGGCAGACGCGGCTCGCGCACCGCTCGACTGGCGGAGACCCCGGCCCGAGACACCGCGCAGCCTCCGCGGGATGCGCCCCGAGCCGCGCGCCGCCTCCCCGCGCCCCGCCACGCGCCGCTTGCACCCTCCTACGTCATGACACGAGTCTGACCTCCGATCAGTTCACTAACACCCGACCACGACATGATATAGCAGTTATAGTGTTAAAATACAACGTGGACAATTCATACAATACCTAGGGGATAATACATTAACTGACTAAGTACCAACATTTTACGAACATAGTTCTAGTTCCCATTAGAAAGCAACAGTGAATGTAACATGACTGTTTCTTGATGTAAATATCTTTATACTTCATTCGGTAGCCTATGCCTGTGTACAGATATGTCATACAAACACGGAATACAGCTCCTGAGTAAATGCAATCGTTATACAGAGTCGCGGGGGTGCAAGGGACGGGGGCAGCGCGGGGAGCGGGTACGTGCGCGGTGCACTATGTGCAACTGCTAACTGACAGCTAACGAATCTATATATATAAAAGAAAGTCGTGTTAGTTACACCACTTATAACTCAAGAACGGCAGAACAGGGTGCTTACTCTGGAA